TTTGCGTCTTTGATCTTCCGTTTATGTAGCATACAGAGTAACAGCAACACTAAAGCTGAGGTAAATTTGGTCAAAAACAGACTTGCAGATGCCTGTAAAGCCAAATTGGATGTATTTTCCTGCAGCGATGCTGCACAGCTACATACATCTGCCGCCACCACCGCCATCTTCAAGGATGTTTAGCTTGAACTTATACAGCACCTTATCAAGTCCACATGGCTCTACTTCAGTTATTCCTGGCTGCGCAACATCAATATCACTATCATGATCAAACAGATGCCACTCAACCAACCATCGCCCCTCCTAAAACAAAAAACAAAGCTAAAAAATGGGAAGTCAATATTGGATGTTTTTATCGGTCCAGTTTTAAATACCGGGCCGATACCGATATTCTAAAAAATGACCAATATCGGTCGATACCGGTATTAATGCCAGTATATTGTGCATTCTTATAAGAGATAGAGCTTTCCAAGCAAAAAAGGTCACTTTCTGTTGTCAGGGGGTGGGGCTTTGATGATGCTAGCATATAGCACATGGTATGGCATGCTACATGGATGACTCACACAAAGTTTAGTGTATTTTTGCCTTTCTATGTAAAGGTTACARCTTTCTGAAATTGTAACAGATAAACACACAAATGGACGGATGGAGAGCATTTAAGTCCCCGTCCTCGGCGATGGGGGTGGGGGACACTTAGAAACTTTAAGCAGATGGTACAAAAAGTGGTATGACAGATTACTACCTTCATTAGATGAGACATGATCTTTACTATCTCCTCCATGGAAGGCCTCTGAGACGGATCTTTAGACCAGCAGCGTGTCATTAGGCTCTCAATAGGTTTAGGCAAGTTTTTGATCAATGGAGGTCTTGTTCCTAAATAATAAATAAAAAGGACATTTTGACTTACATTTAGTTAAAAACACATACTGTAATATTATGAATTATTTATGAAAAAAATTAACATCACAGATTTATGTAAAATCACAATTCCTGGTATTTTTTTAGCACATCCATCCATCGATTCGTTCATTCAACATCTATCAACCTTCTGTTGTGGGGYAAATTATAGTCAAGATGGCCCCTTCTTGTGTCTTGTTTACACTGTTGCATGACCAAAACTGTGCAATTTGCTACTCTTACCAACTGATGAGATTTTATTTTGTGTATTTCCCCTAGTTGGAACTAGTTCTCTAAGAGCAGTGTCAGCTGCTGTGGGATATCTGTGTGAAAATACATCCAACATTATAAGTATTCCAGTAAAAATGATAAAAAAGTCAAATAAAACAACACAGATCGTAAAAGAACTTGTTGGGTATGCAGGAGAGAGACAACACAGACAACTGCAAGCTCTCCATGGCTGTGCTGACGGGGAGGGAATGAGCCTTCCCCAGGGTACACCTCAGATGAGCAGTGTCGAGACATGTTTTTGCACTGCTATAAAAGATGGTGGTCTCTTTGTGTCAAATTTACAAAACAGTACTTATCATTTAACAACAGAAAAAACAGATCTTTCTTCTTTAACTCTGCCATTATCAAGTGAAAAAGAAAACACCCTCTCTGACAAACTTTCTGCCAGTATTTGCTGATTCTGTTTGCATGTGACGTGCTGCAGCGGGAGGACTTATCGGGATTTCTACCCCGCAGTTTCTTCTTGACAATGAACCCTCTGCGAGAAAAAAGACCTCTTAAACTTTGTAATGAGAGATCCATCATCTCAGGTTTTGTTGGAGTATAGTGAACACTTTAGGTAAAGATCACTACATCGCCCTCTAACGGCTTGTCACAGTGGGTCCTGGGTCTGCCCCCTAATGTCCTCTCAGTGGAACGTGTCTTAAACCTTCTTTTGGAATGCATTTCTGGCAGATGTTCAAATCAATCAACTCTCTTTTTTGATGCAAAGGAGCATAGACTCCACTCTGAGGTCCTCTCAAACTCCTATCATGTTTCTACCAGGTTAGTCTAGGCACTCTGCTGAGGAGACTCCTTTCAGTTTCTTGTATTTGCCTTGATTTAGGGTCAACCTTGGGCAATTATTATGACCAGTCATATTGTTTTCGTACTGGTTTTTTTTTTTCAGTGAAATTTGGTCAACCATAGCACAAAAACGGCTACACCGATTAACACGAAATTTGGCAAGACTGTAGATGAGTCTGACCTACACTGCGCCAGCCAACGGTTTTACAATAGACCCCATATTTGAGGAGGGGGCTTCTTTCAAAGAGGGGGTGTCTGGACATGCAAAAAAGCTTATAACTCAAACTGTTCGACATGGGAGCTTCAGATTTCTTTTGTTGTTTAGCTCTATAAGGGGCTATCCATCAGGCCCAACCCCCCACTCACTCACAC